GTTCCGTTTAAATGTAGTCATGCGCTCTTTCTCGCGTTGTGGTTGTTGTCGTATCTGAGTTCTCACCCCTTTCCACTGAGCCTTGAGATGTGTTTCTATGAGTACAAGGAAATTCTCTCTTGCCTCCTGTTCTTCTATTTTGATGAACTTTTTCTACATGTTCACTTATGTTTGCTGCTTGTGAGGTATGGCTTTCTTCATGTTTTGTGATGCTGCAGGTACGCGTCTGTCCATGTTTGCAGAAGGCCAGGTACATTGTTGTCCATGTCTGCTGAGGCCCGTGCCTGCTGCAACTATGCCGCTAACACCCCCACCATAACCCCCCAAGCCCCCAGCCCCCAACCCCTGAAATACTCTCCCCCCCCCCCTCCCCCCTCTGATCAAAGTTTTCTTTGCGGATTCGGGGAGATCTCGGCAAGCGGAGTCCAAATAATAATAAAAATTTGACCTTAAAAATAAATTATTTTATTCTATTTTCTGAGCGATGCAATCAGACTCGCCTTCATTCACACTTTACATGCATGCAAACAGTAGCGCAGCAAACTGGCGACATCCGCCCACTCAAAACTCAGAGATATGGTAACCCAGATACGAGTTCACTTCCAATGCCTATGGCGACTAAACGCCCAAACAACTCTCTGTTCGCATACAGTAGATCACCCTGGATATCCCACACGCGTCTCTCTGAACACTCACACACACACACGCTCAATACTAACTACAGCTATGGTGGCTATGGCGACCTCTACCCTATCGCTATGCTACGCTTCTTCTCTCTCGCCCACTTCGGCTCCGGGCTCACTGCAGACCTCCTTGCACAAGTCGATGTGGCAGCGCTTCTGAAAGGCTCCCTCACACTTGACTTCCCAAAGAGAAACTTAAGCCAAGAAAGGAATTGCAGGGGTGGAGTAGTACATCCTGTCACAGGAAGCAATCAATGCTGCTGACTCAGGGTCTCTCAGCCGTAACGAAGGAAGCGTTGAGTGGATATATGAGGTGAGGGACACTGTACCCGGTTTCCCATCTGATCAATAAAGCAGTTCCTTTCTTTTTGTTTTTTTTTAACAAACAGGTCCTTATGGGCCTGGTTGCTTTTCCATTCTGGGGAGCGTCAGTCCAGTTCCTATTCCCCCTGCAAGTCAAGATTGAATACAATAAGGTTACATTTGGTTTTAGGGATATTGTTAGTTCGGTAAGGGATTGATTCCAGATGAGAACAAGGAGTAGAATCTTGCCACAGTCGTGGCCTGGGCTTTGCTTGGCCGGAGAGCCTTTCTCAGCCTTAGATCTGCGGCGAGCTTTGTGAGGGATGCCGGGCCCAGTTCCCAGCACAGTTTTATAAACGTTGCTCCTTATTTTAAAAAGAAACACAAGAAAAGATTGAATACAATATGAAAACGCGCTCACGCTTCCTTCCATATAGCTGAAGGACCCCTGAACCGCATTGATTGCTCCCCTGAAGGAGGATTGACTGTCAGCTTGCCCTATCCACTTGATCCTCTCTGGTTCCCTTTTCGGGTCTGTCAAATAAACCTATTTAAACAAGACCAGTTTGCCTTTTCCTATCTCTGCGACTTTTCCCTCCACCAGCCAGATCTTGGCGAACTTCGACAGAACTCTGCGCTATTGGTCCTCCTCATCTGGTAGGGAATGTCTTGTCTTGCGCCACTTGCATAGAATCTCTGCCTGGATCAAAGTCTTTGTTTCTGCCCACACCTTTTCCGTTGAATTTGACGTGCCCCTCAATGGTCCTGCAGCATCTTTCCTTCCAGATGGTCCACAATGTCACCTTCCTGACGTTGAATTTGACGTGCCCCTCAATGGTCCTGCAGCATCTTTCCTTCCAGATGGTCCACAATGTCACCTTCCTGATCATTCCAAACCAGATCTTCTCTGTCGTGTGCAGATGGGCGGGGATGTTAGTCCATAGGAGAAGTTGGAAGGGGTGTTCAGGGAGGGGAGTCGAGAATAGAGAGTCCCAGAGGCCCGATGCCCTGGCCCAATACTCCGTCGCTTCTCTACAGCGTATTAGACAGTGGAGCATATCTTCTGGTTCGTTATCCAAACATACTGTACATAATTCTGAACTGTTAGGATCATTTTAATGTCTTCGAATGTGCAGCACTTGATTAACTGGTAGTGCCACGTAGGCGATTAGCCATCGAAGGCTCCTGATTTTAACTGGTGTGATTGAATTTTTTCCATGGGATTTGTGGGATCTGACTGACGTCCTGACCAATTAGTTTGGACCATCTGTTCTTGATTATGTGGTCCGGGTCCTTGGTTTTGAGGAATAGCCTGTAGCCCAGTTTGACTAAGTTGTCCTATACGTGGGTGTATGTCTTGACGGTTTTGTTTCTTCCTGGTGTCCAGGCCCATTTCTCCAGGTCAAATTCCAGGTCCTGGAGTGTTGTGTCGTCTCTGAATAGTGTTTTGGACCATGAGCCCATGACTCTTACTTTCCTGGAGAGGAACAGATCAAGAACAACTCTTTGTACATCCTTATTCAGGATGGACGCGGAACTGTGCGCTGACAGTGTGACTGGAAAGGCTGTAAAGACAGCCAGGGTTTGCGAGCCCTGCTGTTTGTGAGAGAATTGGTAAGTTGTCGATGGGGACAGGTCTTGTATCCGGACCCCCCATTACCCCGTTTTCCAAGTCGGCGCTTCTCTAAATATTTCTTTCCAGCCCTCCGGGATGCATCGTGACTGTTTGCAGGTTCTCGTCTCACCGGTGGCACCCCTTGAGATGGATGCTGAGTTCTTCTCTTCATCCCATATGTGAGAGACTTTCCAGACCCCGTGTTTTATCCATGATAGCCATCATGTGCCATTGGGTTTAAGAGAAAGCAGGTGATCGCATTTGTCTCTTACCCACTAATTGCCGAATAGAGGTTGCCTCGGCACTTCTTCTCTGGTCTTTGGTTTCCCCGCTTTCTTCGGCATGACTTCCCACCAAATCCATAGAAGTGCAGTCCAGCAGGGTGTGGAAGGCTTGGTTCCGGAGGGGGTGCCCCCTCTTTGTTGGTTTCTGCAGCCTGTTTTGGGGGTCCATTCTTTATTCATTAACCAGAATAGACCAGACATGTTTGCTGGTGTCGCTATCGAAGCCAGACCTCTTATACTATCTAGCAAAAGATTGTTCCGTGCTGTTCCCGGTTTTATGAGGAGTCTGACTACCCACTTTATTTGTAAAGCTTTTGTTTCTTGTTTGGGGTCTATAATACCCAGACCGCCTCCAGCAGGTTTCCTTGTAATGTAGTGTCATGCTATTTTCGGTATATAGTTTTCTTCTGAGTGGGGATCCGGGCCGCCCGGGTGACCGGCAGGGGCCCGGGGGAGGTCCCAAGCGGCTTGGCCGGGCAGGGCACCCGGTTGGGGGCCAGCCCCCCCCAGCGCACTCACCTGTCGGGGGGTTTCGGACCCCCTTTTGGCTGGTGTTGGCCTCCCGCAGGCCTACCGGGTCCCACCGGCCCAAGAAACCGTCGCATTGGGCCCGGTAGGCCTGGCGCCAACCTTCCCCCCCATTCAAACCTGGGATCGGCTGGGGTGGTGTGCCACTCACCCTCCCAGCATGATCGGAGTTGCTCCTGCACCGTCCTGCTGCACCGTCGCCCGTCGTCATCGCCATTGACTGTCCTGCTGCTGCTGCTACGACAAAGGCCCCGACTGTTTTCATGCCCAGTTGGGCGATGCACATATAAAACCAAAGATCCGCAATGTGATGAAAAGGACCGAATGGACAATGCAGTGCAAGTAGAATCTCAACAAGCAGTGTACATTCTGATACATACAAAAATGGTGCTTTATAGCGCAGTGGAAGACTTAGATACAAGTCCTGACCTGACCGGGACTGACCTCTCTCACGTAGTGCAAGACAGCGTAGCGAAATGCTAGAATACCAATGACTGGTCCAATCAATGTTGCCATGCAGATCAAACATACACCATCCTTATCACAAGCTGTGAAGGGGCCTGGCGCTACACACAAGAAGAATGCGCCAGGTCCAGATCATGCACGGACGAAGAAGAGGGGGGAGAGATGGGAATGTCGTCACACCAAGTCTTCGTTACAAGTCCCAAATAATCCCTCGTCAAATGTCTGAACCCCAATGTCGAGTCTGGACCAAACCAATCCCGCTCTCTCGTAGTCTGCTGATGCAGTGAAGTCAGGTAGCAAGAGGGTGAGAAGAAGATGGCGGACTGAGAAGAGGAAGAAGAAGAACTCTCTCCCTCTCTCTCATGTGCCAGGTACTCACCTGTGAAGATGTCGCTGTGCTACAGGTACCTCGAAGACGAAGCTGGAGCTATGGCGCTGCAGGTAAGTATCCCTGGCCTCCGCCTAATCTCTCTCTCTCTCCGGTACTACTCTAGCTCCTACTAGCGCCCAGCGCTGAAGACTACTGCTAACGCTACTAGCGCCCAGCGCTGAAGACTACTGCTAGCGCTACTACTACTCCAGCGCTCCTCCAGAGTGCTGCTGCCGAATCCTGAAGACTACCTCCTGCCTCCTGAACTGCACGTGAAGTGCCTGGGAAGTACCTAGGAACTACCTGCCGGCCTGCAGGGCGGGCCAGTCCTATATAGTGCTGGCCCGTCCAGGAGGCTGCTCTTGCCGATGCCGAAACGTGCCAGACCCTGGCGTTGAAGCTCAACTAGGGGTTGTCTTGAAAACAGGCCCAAAATGGCCTGTGCTAAAACCCTGGTTTGTTGCCTGAGTTTCAGGGCGGGTCGAACTGATGAGGGCCTGAAAATGACCCTCAGTTTCAGGCTGAAAACACTCAGGGCCGGAAAGGCCCTGATTTAGCGTGAAACAACACAGGGCCTGTAGGCCCTTGTTTTCAGGCTTTCAGGCTGAAACAACACGGGGCCTGTAGGCCCTTGTTTTCAGGCAGGGCGAGTCAATAGGTCTGTCAGTCAAGGGTTAGAGTCTACCTGGTGACAGTGGTGAGGTTTGGAACCGTCAATCCGGTTGTGCACTTATCACCATGGTTGAGACCCGTAGTGGGACGAGTACTAGCCCCTACACCCAAGAGCAACAAGAGAAGATGGCCGCCTTAGTGAGAGAGAATAAAGAGAGAAAAGAGCTTTGAAGCAGGCGAAATTGAAAGCAATCGCAGAGGAGCAGGCGGCGAAAATGAAGAAGTTGGAGGAGGAGATGGAAGAGAAGAAAAAGGCTGCCGAGGTAGAAGCAGCAGCATAAGTAGAAGAGGAGAGAAAACGCAGGGAAGTAAAAGGAGAGAGTAGTGGCACGGCAAATGAGGATGCAGCGATGGAGAAGAAGATTAGTGAGTGGATTGCTAACTTATCGTTGGGGGAAGATGAGAAGACACAGTCATATGTGCCGCAGTATGAGAGGGATGCGTTAGCCAGCGCGCTAGCAACAATCGAGGACCCCCTGGAACGGCGAGAAGTAGAGGAGGAGAAGAAGTTGGAGTGGAAATTGAGGATGAAGAGGGAAAGGAAGAGAAGGAGGGAGGAAGTTAATAGGTTGACCGAGGAGGTGGCAAAGGTGAGAGACTGTAGACAAGAGTCACAGGCGCAGGCAGACATTTCTGCCAAAATGGATAAGATGCTGGGGTACTTGGAAGTGTTGAGTGCGGCCTGGATGGAGGAGCGCCAAGCTAACTGGGGTCACGATGTGGCCCTGAGTGCCATGCAGTCAGGATTTCGTGACTTTGCGCGCGATATGGTCACCCACGTTGGAGGAGAAGTCGGGCGATTGAGAGGGGAAGTTCTGTGAGGGCGCTATCGAGGGTGCCAAAGCAGTAGCCGCTGTCGAGAGTGAGGCCAGGCCTCGTCAAGAGCCCGTCAAGCTTAAATTCCCAGATGCATACGATGGGAAAAAGGAGGAGAATTTTGATAACTGGGAGGCCTGTGTAAATAGTTATGTGTATTTACAGCACATCCTGACTGAGGAGCAAGTCCTCGTCGCCTTCCAGGCCCTCAAAGACAAAGCGGCCAGCTTTGCCAGGTCCCTTGCGCGCGCGGCCGGTTGTGAAAACAACCTGGTTGTATATTCTAAGATCACCCCCTTTCCTCAATTCTTCAAACTCCTGAGGGAAAGATTTGATAACCCCACACGAGGCATTAGAGCCTCTGATATGTTACAAACCATCCACTCACGACAATGGAGGAGTGCAAGAGCACTCAAGGGCATCATGGACAACTTGGTAGCCGTCCCAGACCATGGGGTCACTGAGCCCCAGTTGGTCCAGTTATTTTATCGTGCCATGCCGGAGCCCCTGCGCGGGCATTTCTTTGATAAGTCTCAACAGACCGACATCACATATGATGGGTTGAGTAGAGAGGGGGTCCTGTTCGAGTCGAAGTCCATGCCAATATCCACTTTCTGGCACAAGGACTTGGATAAGGGGAAGAAGTGGAAAGGCCGTACCATCTCTGGCCAAGTCAGGGCCAAGGATCACATGATCCTTACTTTAGAGGAAGGTGGTACAGACGAGGTCCCATATAGTGAGATCGAGTGGGGCCTCGAGGATGAGGACAATAGCATGGGGCAGGGGAGGTCCTATGCTGCTGCCGCGACTGGAGGGAGGCCGCAAGGTAGAGGAGGAGGCCAGGGCCAAAGGGGCCAGGCCACGGGAGGCCGACGACCGGGCACACAGGGGGTTGGCGGACAAGGGAACCGCCAAGTGGGAGGTAGGGGTCAAGGTCCCCCGCCAAATTGCCAGGGTTCTTGTCGGTCCCCGCAGCGACGAGGTGGAAGGCCACCTCAAGGAGGATGGCACCCAAGCTTGCCGCAGGGCAGGCCCTGGGAAGATTTGGGCTTGGACCAGCGCGTATGGCAGGAACGCGTGGACTTGGGTCAGTGCGTGTTTTGTGGTGACCCGGCCCATGTAATTAAATTTTGTCCTAAGTATAGACAGGCCCGATGGGCTGCCCAACAGTCAAAAGGCAGCCGCCAGTAGGGGTCGCAACTGCCCCTACTTCAAGGCCATGTGGGGAAGCGAGCGCGTGCATACAGGAAACTCCCAAACCACATGAGCCTATGGTAGAGGTTGCAGGCCCGTGCCTAGCTAGTTGTCCAGAGACTGCTTGTGTTAGCGTCTCTCTAAGCACGTCCCTCACAGGCGTGGCAAAGGAATTGAAGGAGAGGATGCCAGCCTAGGCCAAAATGAAGAAGGAGAGTAAGGGACAACTGATCTTGGTTGACGTAGAAGTCTTTAAGAGTAGAGTAGGAGTCGTCATAGATTCAGGGGCTACCCGTAGTTATATTAGTCGTAGAGCGCTGAAGAAGCTGAGGCTAGGATTGAAAGTCTAGAAGTTGGCAGACCCCATAGTCAGTGTCCTCGCAGACAACCGCATAATGCGAGTTGAGGACTACGTAGAGGGAGTCCAGGCGTACTTTCGCCTAGAGAAAGATGGGAAGGTGGAGAAAGTTCTCCATTCCCTGACTCTCCTCGTACAGGATGACCTTCCTTTTGATATAGTGTTAGGAATGGATTGGGGAGAGGCAGCAGGGGCCACACTCCACTTGAGAGAGCATGAGTGTAGGCTCCCTAGTCCGTTAGGCGAGGTTAAGACTGCCCGCTTGTTCCATGTGTCAGGTGTAGACAACACTCTGGCACATTGTTGTCTCAGTGCTCCCGCGTTCGCGTGACTAGTGAAAAAGGAACAACTAGAGGATCAGGTCTTTGTAGTATATGTAAGACCTGTCACTGAGCCTAAGGAAGGGGATAGTTCCACGGATCCGACCATTGCCAAGCTGTTGGAGGAGTTCAAAGATTTGACCGAGTTGCCGATAGGAGTAGTGTCGCGACCAATCCAACACAAAATAGAAATAGAGCCTAGCAGTAGAACTCCTAAGGGAGCAGTCTACAAGATGTCCCCTGGAGAGTTAGAGGAGCTGCGTGAGCAGTTGGACAAGCTCCTGGAGAAAGGTTGGATTAGGCCCAATTCGTCTCCTTTTGGAGCACCTATTTTGTTTGTCCCCAAAAAGGAAGGAGAGTTGCGTATGTGCATAGACTATAGGGGTTTGAATGCCATCACAGTGAAGAATGTTGAGCCGCTGCCCAGGATAGACGATCTTTTAGATCAGGTGCAGGGTTGCAAGTATTTCTCCAAGATAGATCTAAAGTCCGGTTACCATCAGATAGAAGTTCACCCTGATGACCAGTACAAGACTGCGTTCCGGACTAGATATGGGCATTATGAGTTCATAGTGATGCCCTTTGGACTAACCAACGTGCCAACTACATTTCAGCGTCGCATGAATGATTTGTTTAGACCTTGGTTAGATAGATTCGTCGTAGTTTATTTAGACGACATCCTAGTGTTCAGTAGGACCCTCCAGGAGCATCAGGGTCATTTGAGGCAGGTCTTGGAGAAACTCAGAGAAGCTAATTTCAAGATCAATGCGAAGAAGTGCGAGTGGGCCAAGACACAAATTTTGTACTTGGGCCACGTTTTGGACGGAGATGGCATTAAGCCAGAGGACAGCAAGATAGCGACGATTCGAGATTGGTCGACACCCCGCACGTTGACAGAGTTGCGGTCATTCTTAGGCCAAGCCAATTACTATAGAAAGTTCGTGAGGAACTTCTCTACTATCGCCGCTCCCTTGCGCAGGTTGCTGAAGAAAGAGGCAACCTGGCAATGGGACAAAGACTGTACGTCTGCGCTCAAGAAGCTAAAGCGCGCGTTAATAGAATATCCTGTCCTCAAAGTTGCAGATCCGTCTTTGCCATTTGTCATCACCACGGACGCGAGTCAGTATGGTATAGGCGCCGTGTTGCAACAAGACGACGACAATGGCTATAGACCCGTAGAGTTCATGTCAGCGAGGATGCCCTCAGAAAAGGTAGCCACCTCGACGTATGAGAGAGAACTTTACGCTCTCAGGCAGGCCTTAGAGCATTGGAAACATTACCTGCTTGGGAGGCACTTCAAAGTATACTCAGACCACGAAACTCTTAGGTGGTTAAAGACCCAGGCCAAAATGACACCTAAGTTGACTAGGTGGGCCGCTGAGATAGACCAGTATGACTTTGAGCTCAAACCGGTCAAAGGCAAGTACAATGTAGTTGCGGATGCTCTAAGTAGGAGATCAGACTACTTGGAGCTATAGTACACTATCTGGATATAGGGAAGGACCTGCAAGAGAAAGTTAGACAGGCATATGCGCAAGACCCTATCTATAGTGACCTCCTCAAGAGGGTTAAGGAGGCCCCAGAGACCGAACCAGACTACCACTACTGAGGGACTATTATTTGAGAAGCCCAATGTAGTAGACCGCCTGTGCGTTCCCAACAGTGAGGAGATCCGTAGCCTAATCCTAGGGGAATGCCACGACACGGAGGGACACTTCGGTTGGCAAAAGGCTTTAGCCAATCTGATGCATGCGTATACCTGGCCAGGAATGAAAGCTGGTTGCATAGAGTATGTTCGCAGTTGCAAAGTTTGCCAGAGGAATAAGACTACTACGCGTGCCCCTCTAGGCCTTCTCAGACCCTTGCCTATTCCAGACCAGCCTGGGGATTCAATCTCCAATGACTTCATGGGTGTCGGTGTCAAGAGTAGACACGGCAAGAGCCAAGTCATGGTCATGGTTGATAGATTTAGTAACTATGCAGTTTTTGTTCCTTTGCCTGCAGAGGCACGTACGGAGTTAGTCATTCAGAAGTTTTTTTATCATTGGATTAGTGATCACGGAGTTCCGCTGTCTATAGTTAGTGATAGAGACACCAGATTAACGAGTCAGAACTGGCAGGAACTAATGAGAGTCTATGGATCAAAGTTGCTGATGTCATCTGGCCGTCATCCAGAGACTAACGGTCAGACAGAACAGATGAACAAGATCCTGCAGCAAGTCCTGCGCATGTATATTAGACCGGATAAAGTCAATTGGGACGAGATGTTGCCCAAGGTAGCCAGCGCATACAATAGCAGCGTGCAGTTGTCTACCTGTCGCACTCCCAACGAGTTGCACAAGTCATTTAGACCCCACAGACCATTTGAGGGACTTACCCAGGATCAGATTCACAGGCTACCGCCCGGAACTAGGGAGTTTGCGATACAGCACGAGAGAGAGCTAGCTACAGTTGTTGAGAACCTCAGGAAGGCCCAACACAGAATGATAGAACAGGCAAACAAGCACCGTCGCCCGTCTCAGTTTCAAGTAGGTGACTTAGTCTGGGTCAAGTCCAAAGAGTTCGCTCCTGAGGAGAACATTTCGCAGAAGTTACTGCCAGCGTATAGAGGACTGTGGCCAGTTCTAGAAGTCGAGGGCGGAGAGGATGGGCCGTCCTACACAATAGAGATCCCAGCACACCTCCACACCTGTCCTGTATTCCATGCATCAAAGCTATTGTCGTGTGTCACAAGTCAACAGTTCCCTTCAAGAAGATCCATGATCCCTCCGAATATGGATGGAAGATACGACATTGACGGCATTGTAGATGAAGATGTGTTTAGGACAGGAGGTAGAGGTCGTCCACAAAAACAGTACAAAGTCCGATTTGCGTATGAGGAACCGGAAGACGACCGCTGGTTTACTAGAACAGAACTTCTAGAGACAGCTCCCAACATAGTCAGAGCCTATGCGCGCGATAAGATGGGCAAAGGTCTTGCCTTGGGCTAAAATATTCTCGGAGGACCTCGAATTTAGGACGGCGGGAGTGAAACGGTTTTCACCTTTGCAGTAGCAGATGCAGATCCCAGGGCTCGATCCCTAGTCCTTACCCTACCGTGTACAGTGCCTGTGTAGACCCCGAGAGTTGAACCTGTGACCTGTGTATTCGTAAGCAACTGGTAGGCTGTCACAAGTCCGTAGGTTGTAGGGGTTCGATCTGTAGGTCTGTCGAACAGAAGTCTTAGTGAACTCTAGAAGTCTTAGCTGTAGTCTTCTAGAAGGTCGGCAAGTGGGCAAGTGGGCAAGTGGTGAGCCAAGTGGTGGACTAACTGCAGTGCGATTGCAGTACGACTTCAGTAGGTTAGCAGTGAGTCCCCAAGCAGTCAGCGGTGCAGTCCAGTCAGTCGCAGTCCAGTCCAGCAAGTACCATGAGGGACTGTGTGCACCATGGGCCGATGGAAAGGGGCAGACCCACGAGCTTCAGAAGTACAAATCAAGAGGCAGTGCCCAGCCATTCATTTCATTCCTGCGTCCTCGGCTGTTACATGCTGAAAGCCTACACATGGGCCCCTCACGGGACCCGAGGTTGGAATAGGGGCCCCAGGTCGCGTCACCGCAACCTGAAGGCCCTATGGCATTTTTACTTGGGCCTGCATCAGAAAAACGCCAGCTTTAGA